GGATCAGACGGTTGTATCGCCGCCTGTCGACGCGGTAGGTTGGCTGCCCTCGACTTGCCGCTGTGGAACTTGATGTATCCATCAATAATAGTTCCGGCCTGAATGCGGGTTTTGCCCAGGACGAGACGATCCGCATCATCGGCGTTGTCCTCGAAGGGATTCGTGAGGTCCAAATCCTCCGCCGAGTCGGCCTCTATGGTAGGGAGTCGCGGAGAGAAAATCACATCTGGCGGCGGGTGAGGAGAAACTGGTGGGCCATACGGTGCCCCATGTCTGGTCGATGTCGTCGACGGATCAGTGATTGCTAGTTTGTTGTTAGTCAAGGATTCGTCGGCAACGGTTCCTAAGACCTCGTGCTATCATCATCTATTCCTTCTTCTTCCATCCCTTCTCGTGTCTACCAGGAATCGCACTATACTGGATGGGAGCGGCACAGGCGGCTCAGGATACGTAAAGAAATCCGTCCAGCTTACATGGCTTTGATCGTGCCAGGGGCTGGTCATCCTCAAGGGGTTTAGACAGTCGACGTCTTTGCCGGGGAGTGTTGGCTCCATGAGAGAACCATGGAAACTCGGAGTCTCCTACCGGGCTCCATATTTGGGAATCCTGGACATTGATGTTGGAGTTGTTGTCTCCAGGCGAGGGTGTAGAGGCAGGCGTCGATGAAGGTGTAGTTGTAGGGACAGAAGCGGAGGCTGTTGAATAGGAAAAGAGAGGAGGATCCTCGTCCATGGGCTGGCTTCTCTTCCGCGGCCTAGTAGCCATGACTGTCGCACCAAGCATGCCCTGGACGGGGAGGGACGGAAAGCAGCACGGAACACGGGATGCCCAAGGGCATGTACTTTGTCCGGATGGATACACGAGACCAGCGTGCCCAGGTCTGTCCACAGTCCAGAATGGAGGAGACGAGGTCGTGGGGGAGTGTGTGCACGGGTGCCGGGCGCGATAGTCTGATATTCAAAAGTGGATAGTGTTGGAGGGAGCGCTGCGAAGTCCCACGTCTGTGGTCCACGACAGGGCCAGGGGGGAGGTGAGGTCGATGTGGGACGCGACCGGGTATACCTTGGCTAAGAGCCTAAGGTAAGGGAACAGATGCGGAAAGTGGAGACAACGGGGCTGTTAACGTTAGCGCGAGCTCGGGGAGGAAGGAAGCGTGGACGTGGTGCAGGTCGGGTCGGATGAGGTGGGTCCTACCGGTAAGGAGGAAAGATGGGCCCAAAGGAGAGAACAGCACCAGCACGGTAACACCTGCCACCAGCACCTGAGCGACCGGCCGGCAGGAGCGGACGAGATTCTAGCAACGGCCAGCAGCAGGCCCTAGCAACGCGCTACTGTCAGGGTGAACTCAGGATGCCTTCCCGCGCCCGCTAGCTGAGGAAAGAGGTGGAGACCAATGTTCGTGCAATTGCCTGCCTCGAGATAAAGTAGGGGGAAATGTGAACGTGAATGGAAGCGAATGAGAAAGAGCCAAGGTAGCTGTGGAAGGTAGAAGGAATGGAGTGGGGTGGCAGATGAGGCAACGCGACAATCTGCAAGTGACAAGAGACAAGAGACAAGAAACTTCCACAAAACTTGGTCCAGTGGACGGGAGATCGGGTGACGGAATGGGAGCTCGGATGGAAGTTTTCAGAGGCACAGAGCAAGCAAAGTTGTGAGTACACACGCCGCGCCGTGCGAGTGTCGCTCCAAGTGGTCGACTCCGCCGTGGAATCGTCCTGTGTGCAAGGTGCGTGCTGTCACCGGTACGGAGTACGGAGTACGGACTGAACGGAACCAAGGTGTTGGTGCTCTAATTTAGTTTGGTAGTTCTTGTGATGGCTCCACTTGGACTGGAGGATGGTCAGAGCCAGAGTCAGTCGGACACGAGAAGTCTGCGTTGTCCTTTTTTTTTCTTGAACTTGGCCCGTTCTTTGTCGAACGAATCCGCCTACCAACTGAAATGCTGACTGCTGGCTGCTGGCTGCTATGATTTTGGAGGAAAAGGTAGATGGGTATCGAGAAAGTGCGGTATTTTGCCGAGACAAGATAATTTGGAATGCTGGCTAACGAGGCGGGTGCAATTTGGAAGATGTTACTGGATGCTCAATTTGCGGGTGAAAGTCTGTCCAACGGACGATTCGATCTAGCAGCCGTCGTTTCGGAACTTTAGATTCCAGATGATGGGAGGTAATTGGATATCGGTAAGTATGATCGAATTGCCAACTCGCCGAGTAAATCCTAATGCGCTGTTTCAACGTCTTTGGGCTTGGCTTGCAAAACACGGGGCGGACGGGGGCCGGCGTGTCTCCCGCGCGCGACGGAATGTTGTCTCTGCTAGTCTGTCTGGTCTAGAAGTCTCTTAGTTTACTCTAGTCGTTTGTTGTGGATTCAGGCAAGACGGCCACGGCGTTGTTGGGCTGATGTTGGAGCGGACGGGAGAGACAGCGGGAGCCCCCTCGATGTGCGGATAGCGCTGCGCCCAGAAAGAAAGACAAGGGCGAGGCGAGACGTGGAAGCGCCAGTGTGCAATTGAGGCTTGTCAAATGACCTGATGTGCCGGACGTGTCTTGATTTGGCGTCGAGTCCGTGATTTAGAGTTTCAACCCACTGGGACCTTCCCGCTCGTCGGATAGGTAGTCTGACGGCTTGCCGAGCTGAAGACGAGATGAGATGCTAGATGAGTGACCTGTGTAGGTTTCGTACCTGGCACAGAACGGAGCGCAGTATTTGCGTGGTCAGGTACGTATGATACTCCGTACGAAAAAATGGTGCAATGTAGACGCAGTAGCTGTAGAGCCGAGTACCTTCAAGTAATCGTCATGTAAGCTGGCAGCTGGTCTGTTCGGGTTGCACAAGGCAAAGTTATCGTTACACCGCGATAGGTCGCCCTGTCTGCCTTGCCTTAGCGTGTCTGCGACTGTGACGCGATTCTTACATTCCTTCTGCCAACGTCTGCGCCTGGATTGGCATGGAAGCGAGAAAAGGACGGCGGGGGAGGGGAAAGGGAAGAGACGAAGAAGAAATGGTCGAAGCAGCGGGGTTGGATCCCTTGAACGAGGAGAAAGCAAGACTCAGGAGATGGGTCCAAAAGAAAATGTGTGTGTGTGTGTGTAAGCTTCCGTGTGGATGTCCCATCGAGGGAGGGCACACCGACTGCGGTGCCCAAGCAACTAACATCATCTGAAGGAAGGTGTGACCCAACACGTGTGTCTCAATTGGCATCAAGCATCGGGACCACCTCCGAGAAGGCGACTGAGCGATGTGGTTTGACACACTCCACGTGACTGTGAGCGGTTGGAGGAAAGAGATAGGACCGGGAAGGAAGCGACTGAGGCGGGCGGTCGAATTAGATGGGTGAATATCTACTTACCCGAATACTTTGATCTTGACGTCAAGGACGGGAATGGAAGGTCCCGCCTCGATACCTAACCTTACCCCAGGTAGGTAGGTAGGTAGCTTAACAAGGCAGGTATAAAGGTACTCTGGTTAGGTCCTCTGAGGAAGGGGTCAAGAAGGATGGCGTTGGGGACCAGGAGGGCGATGCGGAGCCGGAGATTGTGGTGGAGGTGGGCAAAGGAGACAAGAGGAAGAAGGAGGCGACAACGACCTGACACGGGCAGTAGCGATGCCAGATTCTTTCCTCCCGTCACCAAGGCAAGGTACGGGTATCTGATCGGGCTCAGACTTCACACGCAGCAGATGCTGGAGCTGGAGCCCAAGGTAAGCTGGAGCTGGACCTCCACTAGTGACTGGACGTGGGCGCCGGAGCGGTGACGGACAAGAGAAGACTGCGACGGCGACTGCGACGGACTGCAACTTCGGGTGAAAGTGGTCCTTGCTGCGTGCGCATGTCACGCCAGGCGAACTCTAAGTCGGGGGTCGGGGGGTGAGCTTAATTCGACAACTCGGGACCCTTGGAGGCGCGTGTTTGGGAATGCGCGGTCAGGTAATTGTTCGTGTCGTTCTTTGTCAACCAGGAAGCAAGATGATGATGGATTATCATGGAAAATCACCTGAGGGAGTCCCACGCGCAGGTAAGATCAGGATGGAATGGATGGCATGTAGGTGGGCAGGTTGTCAAGAAAGCAGAAACCCGCACGTTCTCGAGAAGGAGACATCGAACAAGTGGACTGTCTTTGTGGCACAGCAGGAGAATCACACCCAATGCATTTTCCCAAATTGTGCGGTCACGAGTGGTGGACCCATGGGGACCAGCAAGACGCGGCAAGGTGAAGAAGCACCAGCCTCCAGGAAGGTACCTTAGGTAGAGAATGGAAGAACCTGAGGGTATCTGCAAGAAAAAGAAAGCATAGCAAGAAGGAGGGAACATGAGCGAGGCAGGAATGTTGGACAAGGAAGGGACTCTTGAGTCTTGCCAAGTTAATGGCTGCCAGAGCTTGTTGAACGACGAAGGGGGATACCTTTCGAGGCCGATCTTTACCCTTGGTGTTCCCCCTCCTTCCTTCGTGTAGGTACGAAGTCGCCAAGTACCTTATTCGATGGTGCCCCCCTTCCCCATCTTGCCCATGTCGAACTTGTCACTAGGTATATCTCGCTAGCGTGGCTTCCCAACTGTGCCCCCTCCCTCTTTCCCCGCCACCAACGACCTGCATCCACCTGCCTACTGTAATCTGTTAGTGTGCCAGTCTGTAGACATGGGTTTTCTGAGGCAGACCTTTCCCCATTCGCTCGCACATGCATTTCTCCCTGGTCCAATGTTGCAAATCCAACCAACCGATCAATGCTGCAGCAAGCGGGCAACTTGCAAGTCTGCGGCGCTGCGCCCAGCAACAATTGTGAAATGGGTATTTGCCGCTTTGCAGCTCGTTCGCAGCTCACCAGCTCCCCAGTATTCGTTTCTGTCCTTACAGCTTTCCCAGTGCCCACTTCAACTTTCCTCCACCTCACCGCATCCCTCGCCCGCCCGCCCCACGCTCTTCCTGCCTGCCCGACCCTGGCCTGACCTTTCAGGTTCTATGACCTGACCGCCGTCCATGAAGTTCACGGGAGGGAATCGTGGCATGCATGGTACCTTGGTCTTCCATTACCACCTACATGTTTTCTTTTGCCTCTTCTTACCTCGATTCTCAATAAAGTGTACGATTCTCCAAAAGATACGACGTGGGGAGGGGTTGCCGATCCCTCATGCACCAAAATATTTACGGATACCGACCTGGAAGACGGGCAGACAAGCGCCCAATGTCCGTACGGATCCCGACGGAGTAAAAAAGGGTCTGGCAAGTTGCAACCACAATTATTATCACCTGCAGCACATCTTTTCTCTTTCTCATGCAAGATTAGAGCAGTTCAGAAATGCCTTATCCTGGTCGACGGATGGTATCCGTACTTCATTTCCAGTTCCAGCACGCTGCAGTTGGGCAATAATTACATTCTTTCCCAGCTTGCAGTGCTTGCTTCATCTTCCATGCTGTTCCTGGATCCTCATATCTTTCTTTGTCTCTCATCTATCCGCGGCCATAGTCCTTAACCCTTGCTGATCTGAGGCGTCTGCCAGGTGCCACTTTCGCCATCGTGGACATCATCACCTTCATCACTCAGACCATGTTCATGACCCTGACCTTGACCTTGATCACTTCGGCAAAGCCGCGCAACCAACAGAAGCGGTACCAACGGTCTGGTCGCTATCCGCGCCGGCAACGGCACCGGTTCTAGCACCAGCAGCTCCCAACATGCTGATCGACATCATCGAGATGCCATCAACCGGCGTTCGGATGGGCACCCACCCTTCGGACAAACCCCGGAGCCCCATGGCTTGCCATTACGATTCCATCAGACTACGTCTGGCACGTCCACAAAGGCGTAGATGTTGACAGGTTTCCAACTCCCAACTTATCTTATGCTGCAACACCCATCCAGATAATTGGTGCGAGGATAGGTAGTGCCATCCTCACCACCGTGACTGACACCGCTCTTTCTTCTTTGACATCTTTCAACTAGGAGGAGAAGGAAGACTATGAATTGCCTGCCCCGAGTATACCTCCCATAAGATACCCAAGATATTGACAAGGACACCTCAACTACCAGTCGGTCCTGCCTGTCATCTGTTGCCGCCTTCCGATACTTCAAAGTGGAAGAATAAGGCAGTAAACTAGGTGATCAAGTATTCCGTACTTTCCTCACTCCAAGTTATGTAAGGTGAGGTAAAGTGAGGTAAGGTACCTATCTTCCAAGGTCTCCCTGCGGCCGTGCCTTGGGTTCCATGATCCCCACCCGGTCAACCTGCCTTATGGGTCCCGGTAACGGTGCCTGCCCGCACCCCCCCTCGTCCATGTCTCTCATCCACTCCCACGCCGAAAGGTACCTTAGCACGCTTAGGTATGGAGACTCCAGTCTGTACGGATGCTCTGGACATTTGAACTTCTCGTTCAGATCGGCCGCGTTCTGGGCCCCTCCCCCCCCCTCCCCTCCGAACTTGCCCTGCCTCGAGCCGCACAATTGCTTCTTCCCGCCGCTGCGTCGCTACTGCCACTCCTGCGTCGCACCCATTCCCTCTTTTGTCTCGCGCTGCTTACATTCGGTCTGCTTATCCACCACCCACGCGAAGCCAACCGTCAACCCACCATTGGCCCTTGCACCCCTTCCGTCTTAGACATGCAGAAACATGCAGAATGCCACTCCAGTTTCTCCTCACGGATGGCCTCGTTTTTGTTCTTCTCTTCCTCCACTTTTCACTTCCTCTCACGTTCTGCGGTAGCGGCAGCGGCAGCGGGATCCTCTACTTGCCTCACTCGCCATGCCATGCTCTCCTCTTTCGTTGTCGTGTCTTGCCCCCCTCCGTCCACCAAGACTCCTCCGTCAGGCTTTTCATCATTGCCCCCTCTCCATCTCTTCTCCCACCCCCTTCAGGCTCCTCTCTACTCTGAGCTCTGAGCCCTGAGTCCTGGGATTTTGGGCTCTTCTGCTTGACCGATTCCTACGGGCGTAACGAGGCAAGGGACTCGCACTACGACTGAGACCGCATCTGCAGCTACTTGGAGGATTCACCACCACTCTCTCATCTTCATTTCCTCACACGCACCTCTCGCCAATATCATCGCTGTCGCCAACGCGCCATTACATGCTTGCTGCGTCCTCGGCGAGCCGTTTGCCCCCTTCGTGCCAGCCTGAGATCCGCTTTTTGGCCGTCTGCCGCTCCCCTTCCCCCGGCCTCGCCCCGTCGATGGTCACTCTCCATCCATCAGATTGATCCTCTCTCTGTCTCTCTCTTTCTCCTTGCCTTCAACCGCTTACTCCTTACCTTAGCTTCTCCTCTGGCCCTATCCGCCGTCCCTCGTGTGTTTCTGCTAGACTCGGGTCTTATCTCTTTTCTCTTTCCCCTCCCCCGTCACTTTGTTCAACTCAACCCCCTCTCCACCCGTCTCCATCTTTCAAGTTCTACTTTCCCCTGCCCAAATCCTACAAACTTTTCCTGAGTTGTGACCGGGACGTTACCTCTAGCACTTCTCTAGCTCCATCAACGCCAACGCCAACGCTTGCCCTCTCTCAACGTCTCAACTCTCGACTCCTCGTAAATCCCTCCTTGGCCTGGCCAGCATCACCAAGCTTGCCTTCTTCCACAAAGACCCACTTGGTCTGCTTCGAAATGGTTTGCTGAACTACTATCACCACCGGTCCTCACTCCAACATCAAAGTCTCGATATTCTACCGTAACACTCGCTCCAAACGACAAGCTCAACCGTTTTGGCCTGCTGTTTCAACTTGGCACGATATAACTCACGACCATCCACGAATAGGCACCATCTTAATTGAGTTCATGCTTCGGGCTACGCCACTATTTTCAACATGCCTCTCGATATCAACTCGTTACTCAACCCCGAGAAGGCCGTCAACCGGGAGACGGAGGCTCTCATGATGTTCACGGGCATATTTGATGAATTCAGAAAGACTTTTCCACGGCACAGTCAGAGAGAAGGCGAGTTGGCGTACATGGCAGACGTCACGATGCATGTTTTCGATGCCTTTAAGAAGTTCACCGACGACTACCTGACGAAAGAGCGCTTGGAATCGACCGGTCACAATCTCGTAGACCAGGCCTACCGCGCTAATGGGTTCAACGACATGGGCATTCTGGAATTCGCAAAAACTCAACACAAAATGCTAAAGTGCGTACAAGTACTTTTCTATCTTTCTGGCCGTGGGAGGTGCACACTGCTGACGGCGTTTTAGCAATATGAAGGAAGAAATCAACAGCAGTGCGGGCAATCTGAAGACCATCAGAGATCGTGCAGCTCCACCACACCAAAACAGATATCTTCCTGAGTACAGACAACACCCTATGGCTTCAGACTCCAGCTCCAGGTCGTCATTTTCCGTTTTAGGATCAAGCTCGACAACAGGGTTCTCTGCGGTGGGATCTCAAGCATCATTTTCTGATAGCTCGCGCACCTACCATCCATCTGATGGTGACAGGCGATCAACCAGCCCGCCATCTCCACATGATGAGGACGAAGAGGAGGATGACGATGTCTTGGATGCGGACGACTCGGACGAGAGGAACCCGAATCGTGTGGATATGGACTCTCTTCGACACAGAGGTAAGGGCGAGTATAGGTGCCCTTACTGGAGGACATGTCAAAAAGGGGGTCAAAATATCAACGGGGGACCCAAGATCTTTCACCGGAACTGCATGTACAGGTATGACGGGTGGGTTCCATCTCTGAGTTCAACGCTAATAGGAGCAGGCAACACTTGCAGAAGCATTCCAAACCTCACAAGTGCCAACTACCAGGGTGTCCAAATAAAGACGGATTCGCCAGGAAGGACCAGTTAGTTCGACATCAGCAAAATGTCAAGCACGACCAGCCCTCACCGTTGCCTGGGGCCCGAAGGTAGTATTGCATCTAAGCTCATGAATTAGTCTGCAGCCGGATTGAATTCCGGACCAGCGACCGGGACAGCATCCGGGGCAGGCAGAGCGAATTCCATTTACAGCACGACATAATGATTGGGGGCAACAGCGGTTTTTTATCTCTCTGTTTCTTGCTTGGTATAAGGTACAAGCATTCCATGGCGTTGGGCTAGCACAATGTATCATTACTCTCATGTTGGGAGGGGTCAGCGACAGTCATTTTGGATTGGGACGCGCACATGATGCGCCTTGCATGGGAGAGCTGGTTGGTCAGAGCAGTCTGGTTCTTGACTACCGGGTGGTTGGCTGCTGTATGAGAGAGTACCTGAGGGTTTAGCCCACCTATGAAACATTTGCACGGAAATGCGTGCACAAAGTCTCACGGACTACGATCGATGTTGGTCGCCAAATATCATTCTGTTGGCGAAGAAACCCATGCCCGCTTATTGGACAAGTCTCTGTATCCTTGCGCTGCGCCGTCTTTCGAAGAAAACTCGGAAAGAGTCCAACAAACAGCGAACGGAGGAAACGTTCCAGTCGGCAACATCTGCAGGAGATGCCGATTGGTAATTCTTTGGGCTTTGCGGTGTGCCAGTGAAACATGGACAATCTCATGCGGGCGCCATCAAAGATGGCAGTCGAAAGGCGTTGGGCCAAGGTCGTCACGAAATAGTCTAGGTGGGTAGACATGCCTGCCGGTTAAACCTGGCAGATACTGACTCATTGGGGGAGAAATCGTCGACGTCGATATTCTGTATCTGAGCTGTAGTACCTAATTATTATCACGAGTGTTACCAGGTTTCTGGTTAGTTTCCGCTTACTACGGAAATCCTTCAAACGCTGCGAGACGGGGTTCTGGGACTGGCATGCGCAAAGCAAACAACCTTAGAAGGGAAAAGAGCGGGCGGGCGTATTCGTACTGTACTACTGCCGGCATGATGAGATGCCAGGACGTGGACCGGCAAGACGGCTCAGAACCTGGCGGAAGGGTGACTGGGACACAGTCAAAAGTAAGCGGGAGATGTGCCGTGGGCGTCAGCTTGTGTGGTGGCTCCCCTCCCCCGTTGTGAATTCTGGACCTTGCAGGCTTGGTCGCGGGAGGGGGGGAGGGAGGGGCAGGCAAGGCAGGAGAGGAAGGGCTGGCTACCTTACGGAGCAAATGCCCGTCTGTCATCAGATGTCGTGTCGTACGGGAAAAGGACGCTGGTGAAGCCTGGTGCAACAACACCTCGTGGGCAGATCGTCTCCCGAAGGAGATGTGCGAGAAAAAGACCTGGGTTCACCACAGTTTCTGAACCCTTACATACAATTGCACCTGCACTCATCTACAAGCGATTGGACACGGGACGGCGACAGAGCATCTAGGATGGGGTTGGTTTCACAAAGGCGATCGTCTCGCCTTCTGACATGCGCCTTTTTCTCGAATTGGGGGTAAAGACTGTCATGTCAGATCATTAAGGTAGGATGGAAAGGGGGTAGAGGAAATAATACGAGAACGGCAGACGCCGCAGAGAGAAAGAGGCAAATGCAGAGGGGAAAAATGGGAGGGAAGCATACCAGGCACCGGCACCAGGTCAAGAGCCAGCAGACACATAGAGTGTGAGAGTTAGTTGGTTGGAAGGAAGAGACTTTTTCTCTTGTCCTTTACACACTAGCGCGGAGAGAGAGATGATGGGTGGCGCACCGCAGCAAGACACCGCAGCAGGAAAGTGCCCAGGCTTGGCCATGGATTTTGATGGAACATGGTATGTCTAATCAGCCTGGGGACCCGTATCTCGAAAATCGGCCATACCGACTGAAGTGAATTGCTGGTAGGGATGGGTATGCAGTCGATCGAGTTCGGGGCGCGGGTGCCCCCCCCCCCCCCTTTCGCCAGAAGCGCGCCAGAGACGTGAGGAAGTTGGTTCTTGGCGGTCGCTGGAGAAGAGGTGAGTAACTGCAAGACAGCGGGAGAAGGAAACACTGACACAGAGAGATAGAGAGCAAGGGATTGCCGAACACGTCTTTTCGATTGGGAGCTACGGCAAGAATCCCGCTTCAGTAGAAAGCTGGAACATGGCGTATTTTGGGAAACACAGTCAGGCAACTAAGGTATTCACAGCTACTGCTACTCGAGTGAGGTAATTGAACCCAACACCACCCCAAAAACCAACGGTAAAAGCAACGAGAAAACGGCCAGTCCATCCGGAAGAGGAGCAATGTCCGGAAAGAGTCTTGAATTATGTGTAGGTATGCAACTCGCAAGTTTGCTATCTAGACACCCATCGCTACGACTAACCTTACTCGAGACTGCGTACGTCGAACAGATGAGCGAGTGCTCTTGTTCTAGTTTGAGGCAAGAAGTGGATGGACTACGACCTCGATTCGAGGAGAGCAGACTTCCGAGGAGGAATGGAACCCCCTCCTCGTGGGCTTTTCTTGGTCTTGGGATGGAGTTGTTGAGTATCCATCAGCGGTACGAATCGCACGACGCTGGATTCGTCGTGACCTGCGTTAGTGATATGGAGAATCTTCAAGGGTTGTCGTCCCGCCCTAGGCGTTTCCTGGCGTCTTGAGCATTTCCTCATTGCAGGCTTAAGAGTAAGGTATGGAGCACGGGGACGGGAGTAGAATTAGATAGTCAGCTGGGCTGGGTCTTGAACATTTGTCGAGATATCAATGAACCTGGTCTTCTTTTGCTGAGAAAAGAACGCTAGGCTAGGGGTTTGATGTTCTTGATGGAAGCCAAGGGTAAGGTTGTTGAGGCAGTTGAGCTGTGATTGGCCACTTGGAGAGGAACAAAGGCCGGACCAATGAGAATACACGGCACAGTTTGGCAGTCACGAACAAGGCAGGGCCATGGTGCAACACTTTCCTACGTACCTTAGTAGTGTACGGGTACCCATGGCACGCCGCACCGATGGGCAAGACCCCTGCCCGTTCTGGATATCAATCTAAGGTAGGGTCACTATCGAGTACGTGCCTCCCTGATGCTCCTCTCTTCCTTCCCCCCTGACAGTTGACCTGACCCTCCTCTTCCTTCCTCCACTCCACTCCTCTTTCCCCCATGGCCCATGGCGGCATGGCCCATGGCAGCTGCCTTACCTAAGGCAACTTCAACCCTTTGAGATCGTGGCTTCCTTGCTCGATTCCAACGACGACAAGAAAGCGGAACCGCAAGCGCAACCTGGAAAGACCCGCATCCTCGACGGCAACCACCCCCCCGGTCCCCTTCATTACTCGCTTACTGCACCCCCCTCCAAGTCCCCTCCAACACTCTCGCATCGACAAGTCACAACACCACTTCACCTCACAAGCCCAAAGCAACGACCATCCATCTCAACGTGGTTTACGCTACACTTCACTACCTACACCAGACCACGCTACTGTCTATGTGACCACGGATACCAATCTTGTCAGATCGCAGATCCCTCCGTGCCCCGGGAGCCGCCTGGTTTGGTCTCACCTCGCTCGGCGCCGCCTGCTGCCACTCCCGAGACGAATACGCCGCTTCTGTTGCGACGTTCTGCTCCTTCGTCGCCCTTTCTTTCTGTCTAACCCGAACTCTCCTGGGTTTTCGCCACCCTCTACTGATGTGATGGGATGCGAATCGACGTCGTGTCCTGGCTGTCGTGGGTATACTCACTCCCATGGTTCCAACAACGGCAGCATAGAACACACACGGCATGGCCCCGTCGAATGAATGCAAGTCGTATTACCCCGTCCTCCTGCGCTCCAGCTGCGCTGCGCCCATGACCATGTACATCTGGGATTTCCCGGGGCCCGGCCGCCTCCATTCACTCTAGATCCTCACTCCAGGGATTCAGAGTCAGGCCATTCCAGGTCACTTGATTTCCCGCACGACTCCCCCTAGGGAGAGAGAATGATGGCGAGTTTTCCTAGGAGATCCAAGTGTCAACGTCGGTCCTTCCCCGAGTGGACGGCGTGTGCCATCGGTGGTCGGTTGGACGTCGGCATCTAATCTCGTACGTGCTTGCTGCGCGGGTCCCTTGGAGTAGAACGGATATCCGCGCCTGAGCCGTGGACGACGAAGGAACGGATGGACGGAAGAAGCCACTGAGGCGTAGACGTAGGCACAGGCGTGTGTATCAAACATTCTCCCTTGTGGATATTGCGTTGCTCTTTTCTGTCTTCTTTCCGTCTTCGAGATGCTGACATGTTTATCTATATAAAGACTCGAGCCGTGCCCGAAGTGATGTGAGATCTCCCTCGTGTTAGTTACAACCAGCTCTCAGAAGCAGATTACACTACAAGAAAAACATATTATGGCCAAGTCATCGCTATTCACAGCCCCTCAGGGCACTGGCGTCAAGTCGGAAACCTACATCGTCGTTGGAGGAGGCATCTTTGGCCTCTCTACGATCATCTGGCTGCGTAAATACAAGCCTGACTGCAGTATTGTTCTCATTGACCCTACCGCCCTCGCCAACCCCAAGGCGGCGTCCCACGACATCTCCAAGATTGGCAGGAATGACTATCCAAACCTGCCTTACGCAAAGCTGGCCATCGAGGCCTTGAGGTATTGGGAGACTGACTCCTTCTGGAACCCCTTCTTCCACCAAGTCGGCATGATCCGTGCTGAACCTCACAACAACAAGGATAAGAACCACAACGACAAGGCTCAGGATGTCCATCGCGCCCTCGGCCACGAGTCTGGCGCCAGATGGATGACTCCTGACGAGGTGCGAGCCGAATGGCCTGCCTTTGCCACGGCCGACTTTGAGGGACTCGACCGGGTGAGGTATAACCCTCAGTGCGGCTGGTTCGAAGCGGCCAACTCTCTCGAAGCTGCCCGCCAGAGAGTTATCGACGAGGGAGCCAAGCTCATCACGGCCGAGGTCACGAGCTTGCTCTTCAGCAGCGAAGGAGACTGCACCGGAGTCAGGCTGGACAACGGCCACGAGGTCAAGGGCGTCGTGTTGCTCTGCACTGGTGCTCGTACCTCGTCGCTGCTCCTGGAGAGTGCCCCTGAGCGTAAGGAGCTTCATGCTGGGGATCGAGTCGTTGCTACCGGTGCCGTGAGCTTCACTACCAGCGTTCAGGGGGCGCATAAGGACAAGTTTGAGGGCATTCCCGTGCTCAAGAACCGTATTCCCTCGGTCAAAGGTGAGTCATTTGAACTGTTTCTACTAGTACAGATATTGACGAGAGACCAGGCGAGTCCATGTCCATGACTCCGGACGGAACACTCAAGTTCAACTGTGACATGGCTTTTACATATCACCAGTTTCACGCCATGACTGGCAAGACCATGTCACTCGCACCGTCGTCTCCAAGTCTCACTGAGTGGACTGAAGACGGAGTTCCCGAGCGCCTCAAGGAGCAAGCTCGCAAGACCCTCAAAGGTCTTTACGGAGACGAGATGAATGACAAGGTGATTGAAAAGTACCGTGTCTGCTGGTAAGTCTTGCCCCCCCCCCCCCCCCGTTGCTGCCATCGTATCATCCGTAAAACCTCGGCCCGAGATATGCTTACACCGCCACACGACACAACAGGGACGCGACCACGCCTGGGCACGACTTTCTTATTTCCCCTCATTCCCGCTGCAAGAACCTCTACGTCGCAACGGGCGGCTCGTTCCACGCCTGGAAGTTCTTCCCCGTCATTGGCGAGTACGTCGTCAAGATGATGCACGGCAAGCTCGAGGCCGAGTACGCCGACATGTGGGCCTGGGACCGTAAGCCTGGGGGACAGGTCGCCAACGCGACGTATGATATCGAGGGAGACTTGGGGGAGTGGATGAAGGGTGAGAAGCTCGAATGCTGAGTTCATCTCGGCTTCCACCTCATGATTTCGATTGTCTAGGGATTGAGATAGAAGAAGAGGATGATGATGACGACGACGATGATAATGATGGATACATACATGCATTGCTGGCGTTATTAGACGAGGTGCATCCTGTGCCGCGGGGTGCCCGTTGTGATGGGAATTGCATTGATAGTTATTCTTGCATCCGGCACAGGGCATTGGGATGGATACACGGCATAACGCATGCGGGCATCGTGACGATGATCATTATATCTGGAAGATATAAGCAGGTAGTGACAATGCGCGTTGTTGTTTTCTTTTGCTTTCTTTTTGCGAGGTGGCGTTGTCGAGGTGTCAGTACATGGAGGTTTGATTGACTACCTCCAGCATAAAATGGGCTTCACTGTCATCGGCATCCCGAACCGCAGATATGAAATACGTGCCGATCTGCAGTGGCCAAGATGTCGGATTTGCCGAAGGCTGGCTGGCTGGCCCAGCACGCCTAGGTTCGCATGTCTGAACCAAACATGCTTCATTCTGTCCCGGTGGCTTGGTTGGTTTCCGTTGGTCGTTGGTCGGTAGCCCAGGTACAACCTTCTTGACGTTTTGTACTCCCTTCCCTTGTACTCCCTTCCCAGAATGTCACCCGCCGTACCTTAGTGGACCGCTTAAAGACAGCTTTTTTCTTCTTTATGTTGGTGTTGGTGGGTGTTGTTTTGCAACTTGCATGGTTTTGGGGCGGGTGGAGTGTGCCGGGGTATGGGTTGCGGATTTTGGTAAACAGATCGTGTGACGGGTACCTTGGGAGGAGAGGGGAGTAGATCGACTAGAACGCTTCGCATTGTTAGGTACGGACATCATCGGGGACCATGTGATGTGGCAATTATCTGGGATAAATATTTCATCTGGGCTGCTGCGGAGGGTTCAGTCCGTTGGTCAAGGTGTAGTGCGAAGGTCGGGTTTTTGTACTGCAAAGGAATCATGTCTCAGCATACTCATTGCAGTGAAATAGATTATTGGTGTGGTTTTCTTTGGTTTATGTGGCGGTGTATCAGCTCGGGAGGAGCTTCGCGCGATACCTGAGTGATGGCCTTTTGTGATCCAAGGACGGTAGAGATAACGACCATCCCATTCTTTGATCTCGCAATTCGCGGATAGCCAGCCCCTTTGAGTTTTGATTCAATCACTTTGGGCTGAAAGCAAGCAGACAATGCCAACGTTGGGTTGGGACTTGACAGCTGCGACTAGACGCCGCGTATGAGATTTCAGTACCACTGAGATGTGACGCAGATAAGAGGAGTAAAATGCAGGGCACCCGTAAAGCGCCCATGTTGTTTTGTGGTGTTGAGCCATTGTCTTTTATAGTAACCCGCCATGTCCAAAGATATACCAATGTATATACATATCGCAATATGCAATGTCCATCTTGCTCGATTCCTCGTTCCCTCTCTTCTCGGTGCAACTGCCCCGTGACTAGCCGCACCGGCCCAATGGCTCAGGATATCCTTTTTGCAACCTCCAAGTGGTGTTTTCTGACCTTCTCTTAAGCGGGTATGGCCTCGGTTCTCCGCAAATTCTTCTCCCTTTCTCCCTTTGCGAAGGCGGCCTCTCATCCTTGCTCAACCCTCCAGCTGACCGGAGCTATTCGAACCTAACAATCGAGTAGACGTGACTTAACCTGCCATCAAGCCGCGGTCCACCAGACCCGGAACCCAACCAGCGAAAATCAACAATCCCATCGCCCAGCCTACGACGACCCGTTTACAGCCAGCTTACCCTCCGTCTTCTCAAGGTAATTGACCAGAGCCTCGATGGTGCACACCTTGAGCCCGAACCGCCTCGCAAACTCGATGCACTGCTCGCCCCTCAACATACCAGGCTCCTCGTGCACGGCCTGCCCCTCAACAGGAACACCATCATCGACAATCTCGCAAATCGCCGCCGCCTCCTTCTTGCCCGCCAACCTGCAGAAATCAACCGCGGCCTCGGTGTGGCCCCTCCGCTCGCGCACACCGCCCTCGCGCGCGCGCAGCGGCAGGACGTGGCCCGGTCTGCGGAGGTCTTGGGGGCCCGAGGCCGGGTCGGCGAGGACGCGGCAGGTCAAGGCGCGGTCGTGGGCGGAGATGCCGGTGGTGACGAGGGGATCGGCGGCGTCGACGGAGACGGCGTAGGCCGTGCCGCGGGGGTCCTCGTTTGTGGAGACCATGGGCGGGAGGTTGAGGGTTTGGAGGAGGGAGGGGGCGAGGGGGGCGCAGACGTAGCCCGAGGAGTGGCGGATCATGAAGCCCATTTGGGCTGTGGTGAGGGATTCGGCTGCGATGATGAGGTCTGCTTCGTTTTCGCGGGAGGGGTCGTCCAGGACGACGAGGAATTCTCCGTTGCCTGGGGGGTTATGGTGGCCGAGTCAGTGAACGGTGTCTATGACGCATTGAAAGGGGAGGAAACCAGTGGACGCGCAGGCGCGCGCGCGCGCGCGCAAGGCGGAAGAGGGTTTGCGGGAGGGAGGTTGAGCGGAAGTTCCGGGGTAGAAGGTTACTTACGGAATGCCTCAATGGCGTCCGGAATGGAGTCGAACTTTGACTCGTCTATTGTTGAGGAAGGCATTGCTGCGGCTGGTGTATGGAGAGGGCGGAATGGGGCGTTGTGGGAGGTGCGAAGAGGAAGAGGCGAGAGTGCGCAAGAGGTGGTGGTGGTGGTGATGGTGGTAGTTGAGGTTGCGGTCGAGGCTGAGGTCTCGCTCGTGACGGTGTGTTGTTGGAGTTGGCGGTGGTGGACGGACGGGACGGAGGGGTGAGGGGGAGGGGTTGTTGTTCAATTGAAAAGGCCGATCCCCGCGCGCGCGTGTGGAAGATGGCAGAAATTAGGTGCTAGCTTGGGGGTTCTGCGGGCAAAGTTCGGTGGTCCAGGGGCTGGAAGGCGGGTGCGGGTACGGGTCTCCTTTATCGTCTTTTTTTCTTTTCCCTTTTCTTCAGCAGGAACGCACCCGATATTCCGTCATGCGGAAGGAGTGGAGGCAAGGCAAAACGGGCGGAAGAGGATGGGGCTTCCTTTGAGTGAGTTCTGGGCCGATTCCGGTTTATTTGACCCTGGAAGTTGGCGGATGATAGGATCTGGGCCGATCTCTAAGGTGTTGTATCTCGGTGGTGTTCAAATTGTTTGTCAATGTACTCAAACTTGTATCTTCAGGATGCACTTGTTATATAACACCAGCCAAATAGTACAACGTGTTCAATAGGATATCTCAACACGCAATGTGGAGGATTGTCTTTATAAATGTGACATGTCGTCGTCGGCCGGCGCAAGGACGACAAAAAAAAAAAAAAGGTCCCGAGGATCGCTCGGCTTTGTTGGTTGACTCATGGGATTCGCCGGCCGACTTGCACACTAGACTGAACTGCGCCTGTCATCCATGTGCTTGCGTCTTGCGTGCGTGCAACTGCACTTTGGACCCCTGGACAATTGTGGTGGGATGAGGAGGGGCTCAATGCTACTGGCGCCGAATGCGCCGAGGAATCGGCTAGCGGGCATGAAATCTCGGGCGGCGGTCGGGCTTTCAGAGTTCTAGCGCGGAGCCACCATTCCTGGCACCTCGGAGAGTCTGCTCATTCATATTACCTACGGAGTACGGAGTACCTTGGTAGGAACTCGAACAGCTGAGGTGAGATGCCACGGATGCGAAGACATCCAGATGCGACCAACCGGCGCGAACCGAGATCGTAGGGATTACATAAGGTGCAGTCAGAATTACACATGAAGTGGGCGCTGACAAAGCATCCGAATAAGCACCCGCGCGCGGCCCTGTTCTAGCCAAGGCCCAAATGGTACGGTTTCCACGGTGCGGGTTCAGCCAATTTCTGGGTAGTTAAGGTATTCCAAAGTTGTGGGATTGAGCACATTTGATTCTTTGAGTGCTGTATTTGCTACAATTTCTGGTCGGTGTTTCTGCTATGCTCTAATGCACGCGAATGTCACCTGTAACGGAATGCCGCATTTGCAGATGAAGATGGGTGCAGATCAACCAGCAGGGGAAGCTGCCGGTTCAAGTGCACTCTGATTCGGTGACAGCGTCGAGGTTGCGGATAGATTCTCCAATTTCTCCAACCCCCGGCTCCCGGAGTACCCTAGCACGTCACAGCTCTCTGCTTTGTCATCAATTTTTCTCTCGAAGCTCTGGATTTCCCATCAAATCCTCACCAGCACATTCAATCCCCACACCTACGATCCGTACCCACGACCACAAATCGCCATGGCATCTTCTCGCCCGGCCACAGCCGCCTTATTGCGCGCGCTGCGGCGGACAAGCACGGCACCCCAACAATCCTCCCGCGCGGCTGCAACGTCACTCCCCCTCCGAACGGGTCCCGGGCCTGCAGCCACCACCACCGCCGCCGCCGCCGCCGCGCCGCTCCAGTTCCGCCGGCCAAGCTCAACCTCGAGCTCGACTTACTCGTCCGTCTCCCCCGAAGAAGTCGAGCACTTCAACATCCTCGCCGCCGACTGGTGGGACCCCCACGGCTCCTCGCGCCTCCTGCACCTAATGAACCCCCTCCGCCACAACTTCATCCGCGACTGCCTCGCCAGCCAACCCGACCCGTCACCCACGCCCACGCGCTTCCTCGACGTCGGCTGCGGCGGCGGCATCTTCGCCGAGAGCGCGGCCCGGCTGCCCGACACTACCAAAGTCACGGCCGTCGATCCTACGCCCGGCGTGCTCGCCATCGCAAAGGGCCACGCGCGGCGTGATCCGGCACTGCGGGGCAAGCTGGAATACAAGGCCGCCACGATCGAGACGCTTCCCGTTCCCACCAAGGCTGAGGAGTGTTACGATGTGGTGTCGGTGTTCGAGGTCGTCGAGCACGTGTCGTCGCCGGCCGAGTTCCTTGACCGGTGCGCGCCGTTTGTGAGGCCTGGCGGGTGGCTTATCGGGAGTACGATTGCGAGGACGTGGACGAGCTGGTTTACGACGAATTTGATTGCCGAGGATATCTTGGGGATTGTGCCCAAGGGCACGCACGATTGGCGCAAGTACATCAACGACGACGAGCTCAAGGGCATGTTTATGGGGAAGGGGTGGGAGATGCCGAGGGTCATGGGGGTTGTGTATGTGCCTGGTCTCGGGTGGAGGGAGGTCAAGGGCAGCGAGAAGGTTGGAAACTACTTTTTCGGTGTGAGGCGGGCGGCGTGAGATTTGTCTACACGCATGTATGAAGAAGTCGGGTGTGTAAAAGTAACTGTATAATAATGGGCACTGGTGATACCCCCTTTACCTAGAGTCGGCTGTTATGGGGCGAGTTGACCATTTCAAAAGACCGCTCCCATTGGGCAGCATGATCCAAGCACATCACTCGCTCGAACCATAAGAGTTGTGGCTGACGAGGAATCACTCAGGCTATAGGTGAGTGATGGCTGGTTGACATAAGGCGGGCTGTTGCGACCTGATTTATTGATTTGTGCTACAAGTTTGAGTTTCGATTGCTAACGCATTCGTATTCTTGAGGTGGAAGTTCGAGAACGTCAGGGAGTCTGCGGTGCATCACGAACGGCATCGTCATGTTCGCTCCAATAAGTCTCGTCCACATATCACACTGCTTTAACCTATTCCTACTACAGCCGATGTCATACGGAAGGAGTCAGACGGTACAGTTCCAATCGTAATCTAGGAGATCTGGGTCTTATAGTTGCGACTGTAACCCAGAGGAGCTATGTTTTACAGTTGAGACTCTGACCTAGGGGGGCTGGATATCACCAATGCGACTGTGGTCTTGCTTGGAGGAGCTGGATCTTACAGTCGCGACTCTAACCTACCTAAGGAGCTAGATATGCAATTGCGACCCTAAGCTGGAGGAGTCGGACCTTACAGTTGTAACTGTAAGCTACCTTACCTAAGGGACGCTGGGTCTTACAGTCGTGACTGTAAGGCAGGGGAGCTCGATCATACAGTTGCGACTGTAGTCTACCTCGGAAGAGCACGTGAGAAGCTGGACCTTAAGTATCTTGCCTTACAGTCGCGACTGTAAGCTGACCAGTCTCAATTCCCTAGTTTAAGTTTAAGTGGGTCTTGCAATCGTGAAAGCAAGTGCAGCATCTCCGTCTCTCAACATCGTATGCGTGTTGTCCCAGTAGGGTTGTCCAATCAGGTCTGGCTCAAATCAAATGAGACTGAGCTTATCTGCCGCGAACAAGCGACAGCGGAACCTCGTTTCTCTTTCTCCTAGGAGACTCAAAACAAGCCTCCCCACGCGGTTTGTGGTTTCGGGAGACTATTAACGCATAGCAGGTGGGAAGGTGGTGTCTCTTTCTCCGCGGCGCAACGAGAGCCGCCCGTTGTGGGCCCAGTCAACAGACCTGTGATTGGCCTGTTTCACTCTTATCATCCGATGGTCTCCCACCCCATTATCATGTCACTCGACTTCAAGAGCGTACAATTGCTCAATGGTAATACCTATCCGTGCCACCACAAAGTACTTTGACCCCAAACTCTCTTCGATGCAAACCGTGGAGATGCTCGATCAGATGTCATCGTCTCAGCCCTGCGGCCAATCAGCGCTCGTCGCTCTTGGGCACCTCTGGCTGGTCATCCGTCTCGCCGGAGATGCTGATCCCAGCGGATCAAGCTTGCACTGACTTCATTGTGCGCCGAGGGAGAACGCTGCGTCTTTTATCATGGCCTAATGAATCCGAAGACCTCCGATATTAGATCTTGTAGGGAGTCCTATCTGTTTTCTCGTTTTCTCTTTTTGATTCTCCTTCGCTCTCTGAGTGTACTCTTGCTGCTTATCGCATCTCGTTGGTGATTTGTGTTTTCAACATGGCGGAACGAAAGAGACTCGTTGTTGTCGGCCTGGGAATGGTCGGCATCGCCTTCATGTGAGTCCTGCGATTCATCAAATGGTGTGACCCGACTGACTAACTGTTCCAAGTGAGAAGATGCTAAAGCTGGACGCCCGCGCAAACGAGTACAGCATCACGGTGCTTGGAGAGGAACCTCACCTTGCATACAACCGCGTTGGCCTAACAAGCTTCTTTGACCACCGAAAAGTCGAGAATCTCTACCTCAACCCAGAAGAATGGGTATGTGCACGCACCCATTCATCGACTCGCTACTCTTTGCTGATTCCTTGACCAGTACCACAGCACGCCTCAGGGCTCTTTCGGGTATCACGTCAACACCAGAGTCACTGACATTGACTCCCAAACCAAAAAGGTGACCTGCTCGAATGGAGAGGTCGTACCGTACGACATTCTAGTCATCGCCACCGGCTCAGATGCCGTTCTTCCCAAGCACACACCCGGGCACGACGCAACAGGCGTATTCGTTTACCGGACGATTGACGACCTCATCAACCTCATCGCCTTCGCCGCCCAAAGGAAAGGAACCGTGGGTGCGGTTGTCGGTGGTGGTCTCCTCGGTTTGGAGGCGGCCAAGGCGATGATGGACTTGGACTGCTTCGACAAGGTGAAACTGATTGAGAGGAATCGGTGGGTTCTGAGCCGGCAACTAGACAATGACGCGGGGTCCATGGTCGTGGATCAGGTCAGGGACCTCGGCCTCGACGTGCTCCTCAGCAAGCGCGTGGGCAAGATTGAGGTGACGAGCGACAACCACGTCCAGGGCGTAGTCTTCGAAGACGGCGAGCGTATGGACTGCTCCACGATATGTTTCGCCATTGGTGTCCGGCCACGAGACGACCTAGCGCGGAGAGCAGGCATTAAATGCGCTGACCGTGGTGGCGGCATCGTTGTTGGAGACGACTTGAGCACCAGCGCACCAGATATCTACGCTATTGGGGAGTGTGCAAGCTGGCAAAGTCAGACCTTCGGTCTCATCGCTCCCGGAGTCGAAATGGCAGACGTCCTTTCGTTCAATCTCACACAAGCCAAGCTGCACCAGCCCCGGTTATTCAAGAGACCCGACCTCAGCACGAAATTGAAGCTCTTGGGTGTTGATGTTGCTAGCTTTGGCGACTTCTTCGCCGACCGAGATGGCCCGCAATATTTGCCTCCAAAGGTGGCAAGGAAGGCGAAAAAGGAAGACGAGCAAAGCACTATCAAGACCTTGACAAACGGCCTACCACCGGCCCCTGTCAAGGCACTCACATATCGCGATCCGTTCCAGAATGTGTACAAAAAGTACATTTTCACTGAGGACGGCAAGTACCTTCTGGGTGGCATGATGATCGGCGACACGAAAGACTACATCAAGTTAGTACCCATGGTCAAGAACATGAAGGAGTTGGACGTGCCGCCCAGTCAGCTCATCCTTGGTGCCAAAAAGGAGGGCGAAGACGACGGCGACGACTTGACGGACGACACTCAGATCTGCTCATGTCATAATGTGACCAAAGGCGATGTGGTCAATAACGTCAAGGATGGTACCTGCAAGACGCTCGGCGAAGTCAAGGCGTGCACCAAAGCCGGCACCGGCTGCGGTGGCTGCATGCCCCTCGTGACGACAATCTTTAACAAGACCATGTTGTCCATGGGTAACGAGGTCAAGAACTACCTGTGCGCCCACTTCAACTACTCCCGCGCCGACCTGTACAACATCATCCTCGTCAAGAAGCTGCAGACTTTTGAGGACGTCATGCGCGAGGCTGGTAACGACCGGGCCTCACTCGGCTGCGAGGCCTGCAAACCTACCATGGGCAGCATCTTTGCCTCATTATGGAACCGTCACGTCATGGACAAGCCCATGCACGGTCTCCAGGAGACCAACGACCGCTTCCTCGGCAACATCCAGCGCAACGGCACGTACAGCGTGGTTCCGCGCGTGTCGGCGGGCGAGATTACGCCCGACAAGCTCATCGCCATCGGGAACGTGGCGTCCAAGTACAAGCTGTACACGAAAATCACTGGCGGACAGCGCATCGACATGTTTGGTGCCAAGAAGCAGGACCTCTTGGATATCTGGCGGATGCTGGTCGAAGCCGGTATGGAATCCGGCCACGCGTACGCAAAGTCGCTGCGGACGGTCAAGAGTTGCGTGGGCACGACGTGGTGTCGATACGGCGTCGGCGACAGCGTGGGCATGGCGGTGCGGTTGGAGGAGCGGTACAAGAGCATTCGCGCGCCGCACAAAATCAAGGGCGGCGTCAGCGGGTGCGTCCGCGAGTGCGCCGAAGCGCAAAACAAAGAGTACGTTACCTGTAGAACCCCGAAATATGGAAACCACTAACATCGTCTCCCCAGCTTCGGCCTCATCGCCACGGACAAGGGCTTCAACATCTTCGTGGCCGGCAACGGCGGCGCCAAGCCGAAGCACTCTGAGCTGCTGGCCAAGGACGTCCCGCCCACCGAGGTCATTCCCATCATCGACCGCTACCTCATGTTCTACATCCGCACCGCCGACAGACTCCAGCGCACGGCGCGCTGGCTCGAGAACCTCCCCGGCGGCATCAAGTACCTCCAGCAAGTCGTCTTGGAGGACAAGCTCGGTATTTGCGCCTCGCTCGAGGCCCAGATGCAGGAGCTCGTCGACAGCTTCTTTGACGAGTGGGCCGAGGCCATCAAGAACCCGGCCATCGCCGCGAAATTCAAGCAGTTCGACAACACGGAGGAGACGGTCGAGAACATGGAGGTCGAGCTCGACCGCAACCAGCCAAGGCCGGTGTACTGGGCGCACGAGTCCGCCAAGGAGGACTTCAAAGGGTTGAAGGAGAGGTGGAGCAGTACGACTTGGCAGCCCATGTTGCCGGCAAGTCACTTTTTCGGCGCGGACGAGACGCCGAATGGTATCTCGGCGACGGTGAAGCGCGGGGATACGCAGCTTGCCGTGTGGCGGGTTCGGGGCCGGTATTATGCTACACAGCAGATGTGTCCTCACAAGAGGCAGTTTGTGCTGTCGGACGGGCTCATCGGCGAGGAGCCCGGCGCCGGCGCCGACGGAGACAAGTGCGAGGATGCGAAGAAGCCTGATTCTGGGTGTAACGGCGGTCACAATACCAATACCAATGGTAGCGGTGACGGCAACGAGGCGAAGCGGCCGGCGCCGTGGGTCTCTTGCCCGTATCACAAGCGCAACTTTGACCTCGCGGACGGGAGCTGCAAGAACGACGACGAGGTGAGCATCGCGACGTTCGCGGTGGAGGAGCGTGCTGGCGACGGGATGGTGTACATCAAACTGCCCCCTGTCGAGGAGCTCGACGCGGCGCTGGGCACGAAGAAGTGGATGGTGAAGAAGGGGGA